GCCAAACGAAGCCCCCCAAAAGCTCAGCAAATAGGGTGGGATCGCTGAAACTGCCGAAAGACGCCACCGCTGCAGCCAGCGTGGCGCCGCCTCCCCCCCGCCGAGCAGCGCAGGCAGCACACAAACCTCCGGAGATTGTACAGTCCGGGGCCACCCAGGAATGGTGACCCCCGCAAAGGTCTGAGCTCCTCGGGTCCCCTGAACTCCAGACATCCCCAGGGACCCTTTTCCGGTGGTACGAGGTTGTTTTTCTTAGAAGCTTTTCAGCGTTTTTCACCTGATTAGTTCGGAGCGAAACGCCTGGCAGCCATCTCTAATCTTGCACATGCGCATCTTATGTTGATTTAATATAATATATATTAAAGGGAGCTGCAAGTTTGATATCCTTTGTTTAGCTTGATTATCTTGTGTGAATCAAACAAGACAAGTGCACAGTTTACATTTATAATAAAAAGTAACTGTTGCTTTCTGAATATTCTATTTGTCAGCCAGCAGATGCTGCTCCAAGGATACCAACAGGTGGTTCTTCCAAGTAAACACAAGACTGGGGAGTTACAGGCAAACACAAGCAGCTAGTTTCATTTAGCAGACAAGCCCAGCTAGTGACTTCTCAGAGCAGCAAACTGCTTTCTTTTCTCTTTCAAAGAGAAATGCTGTATCTAGTTATAAGCTATTTTGCAAGAGCACCTACATGTTATACAAATTCCAGTGTATCCCTCAAAAGATCCCTGCTCTAAGCGGTTACCTTTTCCAAGTGTGGAAGATATACTAAGAATATAGCAATAGCACTTATTAGACTTATATACTGCTTCACAATGTTTTACAGACCTCTCTAAGCAGTTTACAGAGTCAGCATATTTTCTCCAACAATTCTGGGTTCTCATTTTACCAACCTCGGAAGGATGAAAGGCTGAGTCAACCTTGAGCCAATGAGATTTGAACTGCCAAACTACTGGCAATCAGGAATCAGAATCTGCGCCATCAGGGCTATTTGATTTCCGATCCAATAATTTTCAGTATATGCAAGTTGTATTGACTTATTCTTTATTTTGATGGATTGAGTGGATTTTCAGAGCTAACCAACTCTGAAAAGACTTTGAGCAGCTTTCAATATTTAAAACACAAAACCTTAAAAAATATGGTTTAAAACATAAAGTGCTTGAACGAATTGACAATAATAATATTAACAAACACCCTATCTCCAGGCCTGGGAAAAAGCCAAGTCTTAAGGAACTTCCTAAATAATTAAATAGTGGAATTTGTGCAATATCTTGAGAAAAGAGAACTGGGACATCAAAGTAGGGTTTAAAAGAATGTCCTTTTTAATTAAACAAATATGGCTCAAAGGATCATTTGCTAGCAAAGAAACAAAAACAATATATGTCATTTTATTTAAGTATTCTACAGATCTGAGTTACACAAATTGCCCACTGCGTGCCCACTGTTAGCATCTATTATTTACTAATTCTATTATGATAGAAATTTAGCTTAATACAATGTAAAAGGCCAATGTTACTATGAACAGTAAACTTCAAATCTACTTTGTAAAACAGAACATTTAATCCACTGCAATGTGATGGATCATTACTAATTCAATCATTTTATTTGCTTTACTTTATAAGACTGGTTGGTTAGGTAAAGAGAAATGGCAGTTTATAAATATTATAATAAATAGAAATCCCCCTCTGTTTTCTAGTAACTTTATTTCTTTCTATTTTATTGTCCTCAAATGTTTACTTGAAAGTCATTCTTTAAAATTAATGAAATTTGTTAACAGCTGAATTATACATAAAATTACAAATTTTGCCCAAACTATATTTTCTTTAACTCTATAGGGAAAAAAAGTCAATCTTATCATGTGCTGCAGAACAGCACACAGTTCTTATTTGTTCTTCTCATATAGCAGCGTATTCCTGGATAATCAACCCGTGAGGAAAATAATAGAAATGGCTAATAGCAATCTGTGTATGTGCAGAAGGGGGACGTACAGAAAATTTACACTAGAGCTAGACCTTTTGAGCTGACTGTATATTTAGAATTATGTGAAGGTGTGATGGCGCATTAAAAATGCTTCCCATAGGAGACTTACCCATTTACTGTGTTTCCCTGAAAATAAGACAGGGTATTATTTTCTTTTGACCCCCCCCCCAAAAAAAAATAAGCGCTTGGCCTTATTTTCAGGGAGGTCTTATTATTTTTGATGTGCAGGAGGCAGCGAGCATGGTCACCTCATGGCTGCTGCTGTGTTTCAATATTTTGGGGGGAGGGCTTATTTTAGCGCATGCACTCAAAAGCTTGATTAGGCTTATTATCTGGGGAGGTCTTATTTTCAGGAAAACAGGGTACAAAATGGTTTCCATAGAAGTTATGTTTTGTTACAAAACATTCATTTATACTGATAAAACCAAACTTCCTCACTGGGTACTACTATCCCACTGGATACTTCTCCACTATACAGAGGCATTGCTGAAAATACATATAATACTAAATGAAACTGCTATTTGGCTATAGGTCAGTTTCCTTTAACATTACCAGAATATCTGGTATTGGGGCACACACTGGTTTCTGAGGCAGAATATAGATTACCTGTGCCTTATACAATGAAGGAAATTCTGAAGAAAGTCATATAAGACAGTGGTGTCCAACCTTGGCAACTTTAAGACTTGTGGACTTCAACTCCCAGAGTTCCTCAGCCAGCTCTTAAAGTTGCCAAGGTTGGAGACCACTGATGTAAAACACTCGGAGTTAGCCTGTGGTCAATAAATTTAATTAATTACNTGCTAAAGAGATTTCCAGTAATTTATCTGTGAACAGGGAAATCTTACATTGGGTTTTTTTTCTGGGAAGACAAAACTAACAATAAAAGTGTGATTAACCTAGTTCTCAATGCCAGAAGTGTCTCACCACTATCTTTCCTTCATTATCTGTCTACAAAACACTTAGATGTTTCAACAAGTTCTAGTGCCATTTTATATCTCAAAATAATGTCTCAATGAACAATCAGAGAGAAGTTTTGTTTAAAGGACCAGATGTCCAAGAACACATTGGTTCGAGATTCAATAGTTGCCAGCCAATATCAGACAACAGATTTTGTATGTTTTTCAGTATTATTTATTTATTTACTTGTATCCTGCCTCTATTATTATTTTTACAAATAACTCAAGGTGGCAAATATATCCAACACACTCTTTCTTCTCCTATATCTCCCACAACAATAACCCTATGAGATGAATTGGGTTGAGACAGAGTTGATTAACCTTAGCTCATCCAGTTGGTTTTTATGGCCAAGACAGGACAAGAACTCATGGTCTTCTGCTTTCTAGACTGGTGCCTGAACCACTAGACCAAGCTAACCAATTGACTGTCTATCCATCTGCTTTTTACATATATTTCAAGTTTTATATTTTGGATGACATTGTTCAATGTGGGATGTTTCTTATTTCGAGAGCTGGGCGTACAAATTTCATTTTAAAGTGTGTCATTGCATACAGGTAAATGACAATAAAATTGTCTTATCCCTTTTGTTTACTTTACTGAACTATATATTATGGGGGGATTTCTGTAGTGGATTTACATTTAATTATCCCTGTGGCTGCATTCACACTATGTAATACAGAAAAGAATATACTATGGCAGTTTCAGCTATCTGTGTAAATACCAAGTTGATAGCTTTTGGAAACCTGATTTGCCTTTGTGAACATAAATTGTCAGTGTAATCCATGATAGAAGAAAAGCAGAAGATTTGGGTGCTGCTAAGCAAAATAAAATAAGAGCCGAGGTAGCGCAGTGGTTAGNAATAAATTTAATTAATTACTAATGATTCTACATTTTGACAGAACATTTTATAGGAATGTCGACTTCATTGGAATATTGCCCTACTTCAAATACAGAATCAAAAGGGGATGTAAATTTAACAGTTTAGTAATATTTAGTGACAAGTGTGCATGTGTGCGCACACAAGCATGGCTATGAGTATGGATAGACAGACAGAAAGGACAGAGAAATGCAACAACTCTACTTCATCTCTTGCCAAACCTTGGCAAAATTATGGATTTTGCAGAATTATATTTAAAACATACTCACATCTGTATTTTTCTTCCAAGAGACCCTTAGAAAGAGATATCAAGCCAATCTTCAGGGATTGCACTCTGATTTTTCCAGTCCGGGCACTGTTATAGAAACAGCAATAAAAGAGTTGGCAGGAGGTGGTATAATTTAATTCAAACATTGAAAGAGCTAGCAAAAACACCTGGTGTACTTCAATTTCTAGACATTAGCTACTAATCATATCAATGAGTCTCTTTCACAAATGTTCAGTGAAAACTCTAAATATTTACATTCAGCTTAAACACATTAATTATAAAGCATTGTAGTTCAAGCGTACAGCATCACAACATGTCCTAATAATGTGACACTCTGCATTGCAAGAACTGATGACAAGTGAATGCAAATTATAGTATCTACGGGTACATTAATATTTTTCAAAGCACAATTTGCCTTGCCTGAGCTTTACAGACTTTGATGTGTATGTACATTAGAGCAAAAATGTTAGGTGTATATGTCAATTAGAAAATGCATAGTACTGATTTCATCTAGCAGTATGACTTCAATCTTATGCAGTATGGTATTTACAAAACCATTACTGCCAACAAAACCAGTGAAAGAAGAACATCCAGGTGTGGTTGGAGATGGGTCAAGCAGTGCTTTTGCAAATGAGAAAGTTAATTAGGAAGACTTGCTGGACACTATCTTTTTCTCTGGACAGTTCACCAGTATCTTCCATCTTCCCTCCCCTCCACACTTTTTTTTTTTTTGCCTTTGAGTGAGTCTTGACTCTTGACAATGACCTGGATAAGTCCCTGGATCTTTCTGAAGTGGTTAAGGCAAAAGGTTATAAACCAAAAGATTGTGAGTTCTAGTTTTGCCTTCCTTGGGGCAGTCATTGCCTTTTAGCCTTAGGAAGAAGGCAATAACCAACCACTTCCAAAAATATTATCAAAAACACTAGATCACTTTAGGAATGCTCAATCACCAGGCCTCGGAACACTACCAGACCATGAGCTATTTGCAACTGGGCCACGGAAATGGCAGATGAGCACATGCAAGAGAAATCTGAGACAGAGATCTTGCAGAATTATATTACTTTGAAGACTCCAATACCTGGACTCAACTCAATATTACAATATTTAAGCCTGAGTCTGAATGTCTTTCAGTATTGCCGACAGCTGTCAGCTAATCCTGAGCTGCTTGTAATTGTTCTTGACTGTGATTGTGTGCTAATCCTGAGCTGCTTGTAATTGTTCTTGACTGTGATTGTGTGCTTCAGCATGGTTACTGTGACCTTGGATTGCCTTGGGATTTCTCTGGGCTAATATCTCCAATTATTGACCCAGATCTACTCACATTTCTGGTTATTGACCCAACTTCTCTTGTGTATTATCTCTTTCTGCATTACTGAGCTTCTCTATAAGTAGATTCATAGCCATTGAGATAACAGGACTCACTATGGAGTTACAACCTTAAAGCCCAATCAATTGTTTATGGCAATATTTATTAAGAGCCAGTAGAGAGAAGAAACTACCTCGATATTAATGTTCTACTTAAGTATTAATCTTAAGTAGTATAGTTCTGCAACGAGCTCTGATCAATGTCTGCTAAATTCAGGTAGATGATACACATATGACATCTCAATTGCATGCATTGACTCTTCACTGTGTTGGATCTCCTACAATCCTTTGTCTAGATCTGATGATGTCTGGCTGACTATACCTTTAAACTTGCTACTGACCCTGGACAAATTCACCTGAATTCCAGACCAAATTTTGATTGCACAATGATCGATGGAAAGTGCCATGTTTTGTGTTTCACCTTGGGTTTTCTAACTGTGTTTCTCATATGAACCTTGAGACAGGGCAAACAATTTACAAGCTCACAGTCAATGCCAGAAATAAGTTTTAATAAAATAATCTGCTTCTGAAGTTATCTAAATGAGTCTTCTTGAAATGTTCTACAGGCACATTTGTAAAAAAGGTTACTAGTGTCCTCTATCTGATTTTCAGGGATTCGCAGTCCTTCAAAGAAGTCTAGAGAAGAACAGCAACCATGATTACGAACACTATCTTTATTGTAAAGTTACAGAAATCAAAATAGAATCTTGCAAGTCTGAAAGTGTTTTTCACCTCTGTCACTTTTAGATCCCTGAAAACTAGAGAGGGTCCTTTCTGAAGTGCTTTCTATATCCCTTTTGTATTCATGGGCAGAGATACCTTTTGTGTGATGGTTACCTAGTTTGTGGCTCATTTTGTCTCCCAGGGTCATTCATTTATACCAGGGGTGTCAAACTCAAGGCCCAGGGGCCAGATCCAGCCTATGAGATGCTTAGATCTGGCCAGCAAGGCCTCCCTGGAAACAGCGAAGACTCGCCCACAGTGCCTCTGCCAGTGAAAACGGAGCTCAGGAAGGCAGCATGTGGCCCTCCCGAGCTCCATTTTCACTGGCAGAGGGTTGCAGGAGGCCGTCACAGCTGATAATGGAGCTCAGGAGCCCGTTTTTATTGACAGAGCACTCGGACTGACATGAGTGACATCAAATTGGCCATGCTTACCCCAGGTCAAAGAGAACCCTGAGGTGGCCCTCAATGAAAATGAGTTTGACACCCTTGATACCATTTATAGGCAATCAGTTTTTCTTTTCAACTCTCTTTGAAACAATTCACCTCATTCAAAAATGTCTGGCACTGCTGGAAATTCTTCCAGAAGAAAATAGGCGGTAAGGATTCTAACTTCTCATGCTATTCTTTAGCTCCAGTACATTAATATGTTTTCAGTGTTACATACTTAAACCATATTTGCAATGCAAATGTTCATAGGCTTATATTTAAAGCTGGAGCATTTTTACAGAGCAGGTGGATTCTAAAATATATGAATATTTGAAAAATAATACTCAGTGATATTCAATTTCACTTTTGTTCTGTTTACTGACTTAATGTGAGGAATAAATAATTCTTAATGTGACAGAAATATAAAAGACAATAGGTGTTGCTGTCAATTGTTTTCACTTAATGTCTTACAAAGGCCATAAACATCAGTTAGCATGTCTTACAGATGCTAATTAAATTCCAGATTAATAGCATGAGAGAAGCAGATGGCATCTGTAGGTGGGTAATTATTTAAAAATGGTATACGTCAAAGATATAAACCATGAGCATGTTAAGTGATAAATTAGAAACAAACCGAGTCCATTAGCAAAAATGTTAAGTTAAAGTTATGCACAATCATTTTGCTGTTGGGGAATTTTACAGGAAAAGAGAAAACTGTTCATTGGCTTGAACACATACTGTAGAAAGTGGAAAATAACAGTGAATTATAAAAAGGCTATGCAAGGTTCCACATAAAGCAAAATATCAAGGACCTGTTGAATTCTGTAATTGTGTTCAAATCTCAGTGGCTCCTTCCCATAAAACTAGGCACCTAATAATCTTTAGATCTGCTTTCATTTAAGGCAGGGCTATCAAACTCCCGGCCTGTGGACCGGATGCATCATGCGCTGGCCACGCCCATGCCTGGTTTAGCGAAGTGAGAAAAAGTCCTAATATGTCACGTGACACCGCTGTGTCTTGAGTTTGACACCCCTGATTTAAAGTATTTAGCCTTCTGAAAATAGTAATCAAAGGTATTAATCAAACAGATGTTAGTAAACTTCTGTAAACTTTTATTGGCATTAAAAAAGCATTAAGAATATGTGGATTTGTTTTATCTTTCCCACATATAACAGTAAAAGGACGTTGTTGCACTTACAAGGTTTTCCTAACCATCTCACACTTACCTATCATAAACGTTGAGCAGCCAGTTCAGACACATATCTACGCAGAGTGGAATATTCACAAGGTCTTCATGCTTCTCTTCCATTCCACTGTAAATCGTAGTGAGGCAGCTGAGGATATCCTGAACGCAAAGGAGCTGATCATTCTGAATCAATTTGTGCTGTTTAAAAGCTTCATTTGTTGAGTTTAAGTCCAAGAGGTCCACTGGCAATATATATATATATTTGTGTGTCAACTGAAAAACATTTCTTTTATCACAAGTATATGAGTTCTCTAAGCCCCAAAGCAAAGCAATATTACAGCTCGAGAAGCATTTTCTCAGTTATTTTCCAACTCAGGATGCTAAATAAAAGTATTTGTGTAAGCAGTCTGCATTTAACAGTCCAAAGCCATCTGCTTCATAGGTGTAGATGGAGAAATCATTGAGCATTTTATCTTGTTTGAAATTTGGTTTACTGCTATGAGAAATATTTGAGCTAGGATGCTGTGTCATTCATGTCCCTATCCAGCACAATTTCAGTCATGTATGCCATTTTCATTTTATCTATTTATTGCTTTTCTAGATATGTTATAATATTCTGTGTGCGTATAACACTAAGGGTGGCTAAACATTTGAAAGCACCCTAAATTATAATTCTCAGGATGCAACATATCAAGGTACTTTCGTATAGGATAATATAACATGCATGAACAAGATTTATAAATATATAGAAGTTTTAAGAAAAACAGAAAATAGTTTTATTTCGCAAGTATCTCAGTTTACTTTATTTCAAGTGGCGCATCTACTGGGAAATCATCCAAATTAAGCATACAGGTTTGAGAGTGATATTTTTTTCAAAAGAAGGTTGATATCTTTGTGGCATGGGATCAAAATGTTGATATCTTTTTGGCATGGGATCAAAATGTTTTCATCTTCCAGGCTTTTTAACTACATGAAAGCTCAGCTAAAACCTTTAAAATGAGGATAATGGTATTTTAAAAGATAACCTTTGTGACAGGTGAAAAGACTAGATAGTCTGACAAAGTTAAAGACTTAATGTTTCTGACAAGAAGCACCATTTATAACCAAGAATTCTAAACTGGGGTGGCAGTGAGGGCTTCTGGGTACAACATGTAAACAAGCATTAATCATCTTGATTTCAAAGATATCTAAACAGGATTCAGCAGTTGCTTTGTATATTGGCATCCAACAGTGCTAAGCAGAGCATGCAAAATTATGTATCATTTAAAATCCCTTAATGATCTTGGAAAAATGTGAAAATGCTTTGCACATATGAAGTGGTAGTCATCCATTATGGAAGCTCCCATTTTTGATGACAACAATATTTGTTAATTTCAAAAGGACCTGTTGTTATAATAGTGATTATGGAAAACTGATTCATCTATTCAATGAGATAGAAGACAAAAAAAGCTCTTTATAAATTTTTCTCCAAGCAGTCTTAAATTATGGAGACAGGCATTTCATGAGGATAAAAAAGATTTAAACTGGAAGCCAAATGGTCCCATAATCTTTAGAGACAACTTTTACTAGAAACGATTAAAAAAAATTGCAAACAGTGTGTTATCTTCACATTCTGTTCACCTGATATGTACATTTGGAATGTTAATATTTAGTTTCTTTCAAACCTTTTTATATGATCAGCTTGCCAGTTTTAGGATGAGTGATAAATTATTACATATCACTGATGTGAAATTAGACAGAAAAGCTCTTTATAATAGTAGGGCAGAAAAGCATTGGCAAACATTTGCTACCCCTGATGCAGCACTAGCAATACATAAAAGGTGGTGCAGTGGTTAAATGCAGCACTGCAGGCTACTGCTAGATCAGCAGGTCAGCGGTTCAAATCTCACCGGCTCAGGGTTGACTCAGCCT